GTTTCAAAATATTTCGGGCTATGTCGTAAAAGAACCAAGTCTTCTTCTGTAATACCCGGCCGCCTTCATAGAGTGGTCTTCAGGTAGATCGTCCGCCCGGAGAGCGGAAGGTAGGGCTTTCAATTGTATCCAGGCGTAAGACCCAAACACTGAGTGGGGTATTTATCTTAAACTGAGACATGGTACCTCAGTAGGCCAGCACTATCAAAGCGGCAACAGTCCGGACTAGTACAAGCAGCCCCATACACATACAAGTGCATGGGTACATAAGTGCAATAATCTTCGACGCGACGTTAAACCCCATTTCATCTGTTCTCACATGCAAAGAACACAACATGCCTGCCGTTGTTTTGCTCTCGTTAAATGAATATATTTTCTCTGAGGACTAACTCACATTGATAACCTTCCATCTCTATATTATATAGTCTTTATTCATTAGGTATTTTAGGCCAGATGACCATTATACATTACAGAGTATACAGTGAGAGAGAAACATTATAATACAAAAGTAAATTTTAGGTGATTTGTACAAGACGTAGTTTCATTGCTTTGTAGATGAATAGGATAGATTTTGAATGATTAATACATCATTTGATGCCATTAAAATGTTAAACGTATGTATGGAGGGGTACAGGTAAAACATTTTGGGTATACATTTTCGTCTTAAATGTACATATGGATCACAAATTATTATAAAATGAAATTCATCTTCAATTTGATTTTGAGTGCAAGCCAGACACAACCTTTCAGATTTTAACTCTTTTTTTTTACCTCCAAGTCTCAATTCGGAGCTGATGGAAACAGCATCTACGTAGCGCAAGGGCACGTCTGTATTTAACAAGTGGTAATTCTTTTAAATATGTTTCTAAGCCGATATTTATTTTGAATAAACTGTAAAGAGTTGATTTTGAGCTTGATGAAAGAGCTGCGTGCCAATTTGTTCATAAGATAATTTTAGACAGAGTAAAATTTCCGGCAGAAGCTGGAGATATTACTTATGAATTGTTGGTCCCATATGTAACAAAAACCAGCAGAGAATAGGATGTGTTTTACTTTTGATGCCCAGTTAGTTTTACCATTACTACAGCCTAACAATAATAAGTTATAACATTTCTTTACCAAACGTGATTCAGGCATACTAATTATTTTCCACCAATACTTAACAACACGTCTAAATGCAAATATGTATATTGGGTATATTGGGTATTCTCCTCTAACAACGTGGTTTGCGGGTGACTGCTTAACACATAAACATCTCTTACAGGCAAACACTTGTACAACTTCTATTTCTTCGTAATTATGAACACCCCAAACTTCAGAGCCATACAATAGAATTGGGCTGATTTGGGAATCAAAGATTTTTAAAAATAGATCATGAGGTGATGGATTTAACATATATACTGTTTTAATAATTCCACACCGAACCTCTTTTGCCTAAGTTGATTAACTATTAACATGAGCAGAACACAGTAGTGATCTGGAGAATAATAATCCCAAGTATTTGTAACACGAAACACATTCAAGTTAAAATACCACTTTTCGACTCTTGATTAATTTATACCATTTTTAAAAACAACGGTTTTAGTTTTAGATGAGTTAACAGACAAGTGGTATTTATCACAAAAACAACATAAAACATTAATTCGATTTTGTAGCCCATAGACAGTATCTGCAAAAAGAACGATATCATCTGCAAATTACAGCAAAAATACCTGTATGATATCAGGATGAAGCTGCACCCCTGGCGCACATGAAGATCTATTTGTTAAGCAAGTTCATTTATAAAAATAGAAAACAAAAAGGGGCTCAACACGCAGCCTTGCCTGAAGCCTGAAGGGCAATCGAAACTTTCAGATAATATGTTATTTGAATTAACACACCAATTCACACAACTATAGTTAGATTCAAGTGCATTCAACATCTTGGATGAAACTCCCCTGTTTTTTAATATAAACCATAATTTAGATCTGTTTGAAAAAGTCGACATAAACCTTACCACGCTTTTTTGAAAGGTAGTGTCGAATAATAGATGTAAAATGAAAATATTATCTGTTGTGCTATATCCTTTTCGAAATCCCGCTTGCGACTCGCTAATTTGTCGTACGAATTTGCCCAAAATACTAATCTTGCATTAAGAACTAATGTATAAAGTTTACTTCAAGTGCTTAAAAGGGAAATACATGTAACTCTATAATTATGAGCATCAGATTTGTCACCTGACTTATACAAAGGGATTATGGTACCTGTACTCCATGATTCAGGGAAATAAGATGATTCCAAAATGACATTAAACAACAAATCTCTATAATAAAGAGATGCAGATGGACATGCTGATGCCCACCAGGGAATCCAGGAACCTGTCGTTGTTGGAGCAAGATGTGTTGTTCAATACGTGGTCGGATGTCAACGGTCGGAACAGCAAAACCACTTCTGTGTTACTCCGCGGTAGTTCTTCCATGCAATCGATGACAATGGGTGATCCAGCGAAACCTTTAGCCAAATATTTGCCATGAATTCGATTCTTGAATACCTGTTCTCGTGGATTCCATGAAAGTGAAAAACATCTGTGTTCAATATGCACATACACCCATGACAGATACAGGAACACGCACACGCACGCGCACATGCACGTTGACTGTAAAATATGTATATGATTTGTAACAAGCTTTCATGTTCTAATTAACATAAACATAACATCAACACTAAGCATCATTTGATATACAAAATTAAAAATTTTATAACAAAAAACAAAAACAATTAAAAGTATATTCTGCGACAACAAAGATGAATTTCCAAAGTTTCTCATCGTGGTCATTGTGTTATCTTCCATTCATAACTGTGACATGCTTGTGGCATGAGTGTGATAGTCTTTCTTGAATACTGATCAGTTGGTGAATGTTCTTTCCCTCGTAAAACATGACATCCGTACCTTGGTTATCCACAGCTCAACAATCAACATCACACATGACCCAAATAGATGGGAAACAAGATAATGTAAGAACACAGGTAACTGCGTTTTCTTATGGCCTTCGATGATATAAATTATACCTCTTTGGAACAGTTTTTGCTGTCGAGGGAGTTTAGGGATTTCATTAAAATATATGTTGTTTTGTGTGAAGGAGTATCAATGTATGTGTCCAGCAATGCAAAAACATGTACATCATGTGAAACTGTCACTCAACTGGTGGGCATATGTAAAATCGATCAGTTGATGAATGTTCGTTAACTTGTAAAACGCGACTTCTGATCCTTGGTTATGCACAGTTGAACAATCAACATCACACATGACCCCAAAAAATCGGGAAGTAGATAATGTGAGAATACAGGTAATTGCATTTTTTTAAAATATGATACAAATTATACCTCTTTGGTTTGTTTTCAGGACATTTGTTAACGTTGCTATTATTTGCTGTGGAGGGAGATTAGATTTTTCTTAATCAAATATGTTAAAATGGATGAAGACGCTAATTTGTGTGAAGGAGTATCCATGTATGTGTCCTTTCTATTTACTCCAGCAATACAAAACGTGGACATCATGTGCAGCTGTCACTCAACTAGGGCCTGCTGGGTTATCTATCCCTTGATATGAAGATGCGCCATTAGAGGACGACGTCACAACAGGTAGTATATCTGATAGTGGCACTGCCTGACAGTAGGGTGGAGGGTCGTCCTTCACGACTTCACTGTAAGCTGGAGGTGGAGTAAACATGGCCGGCAGGGTAGTTGCCGTAGTTGGTGGGTAGTTTGAGACTCGGACAGTGTAGACGGTGTTCAGGTTGACTTCACGTGATATGTTCCCTTGCGACTGATCATTGGTTGTGGATTTTTTCCTGGAGCAAATTCCACAGCAGCAACACGTTACAATTGCAACGCCCACAATGCCGCCGAATACCCCTCCAATTATGCCTCCAAGGTTCGGTGAAACAGACGCTGTGCAAAATAAACAACACGAAAAGGAACTTTACAATAAAGACGAGTATCGAACTTATCAAGTTCATTGAATGGTATTGTTCCAAAGTTTCTGGACACAGAAGCTGAATGATAATTATATTCTCGTTCAAGGTGATTTTTTTATATTATAGCTTGCCGAAAGAACGACTGTCACAGACATGTGTATTACATGACTTTATAAGAACTCTGGTAGAATGTGCGTTAAATATTGTTTTGAAATAGATTCCTGAACGTTTTACAACAATTACATTATTGCAAAAGTATTGTGGTTTCATAATTCTATTGCGTTCTGTTACAGCATGCCACGCATCTATACCTTCCAACAGCGTCCTCATAATGTCAAACCTAACCTGTCTGATGTTTCCAAGGTTCTAGATTGCTTGAGAAGTTAATGTTAAAGGGAGATCTAGCGGTTCTCATGTTTTTCTTGCTGGTTCTTATGCTGGGGAAACGTTTGCACAGAAGGTAATAATACACGCATATTTGTCATTGTATTACATTTATCGAGCCATTGATACCAGCATGGTATAGGTGTCAACTGCCAATTGTTCAACTACAAAGGGCAATAATAATTAATAGACAACTACCCCCTCTACAACCCGTGACACATTATTCACAAACGATGAAACAGTTTATAACTGTTTAGATTAAGGCCGCTCTGTAACTAGTTCAGCCATGTGCAGATTAGGCATCTTGATGCAATGTGAAATGAATGGACGCTGGTCTCGTAAACATAACCAGGGCGAATAAGTGACAGTTTAGTCATCCTGGCCACCGTGCCCCGCCCCTCCACCTCCATGGTCAACCCCTACCCTCAAGATATTCCTTAGTCATCTAAACACCCAAAGCCCAAATGTTCTGCTCAAGGTAGTTGATATACTGTTTGGTGCAAAATACGCTGCAGATGTTAATCAACACGTATACAATGGAAAAGTACAATGACTGAGACCCCTACGTTATAGCAGGGGTGCCGACTGATGCATCTTATTCGTCCTGTCTTAACAGATTCGATGTATTTTGAAATGAATGCATACAACTTAAAAACTTACAGGAAGATGTTGGCTCGACAGCCGTGAAGGCCAATTTAAATCCTGTTAAGGTGTTCGAACTATCGGAGAGGAATCGAACCTTCATACTCATCCCTGTACTCTGTGTATCTGGTCCATTCAATCCACACCATCGACCAAGCGAGCGTTCATATGTGCCAGTGACTATTGCAAGAATAGAACATGTGTGTGATATTATGAAGATATTGTTATACTGACAACAAATCACATACACATGCTAGGACGATAGCTGTGTTAAGACAGGCATTATTTTTAACATATATTTGGGAATGATATTCAATTATTCCACATGACCATTTTATTTTAATTTTTAGTGTAAAGTGGTAGTAAAAACCCTATGTGATTCTGGTCGATGACATGGCCTAATCTGCAGTTCAAACGACAAGGTATAACCTGGATTAACATCGTTTTATTGCAATGATAAAATGACACTTGTCTTACAAAAACATTTACACTCGTCGACATAGAGACGCTATTTCGTGTGCATAACACATACTGTCTCTCTTACTCAATTCTAGGAAAACCCTAAATTGGTGTAAGTCATAAAGTCATTACCGTCATAGAGCTGCACATAATCATAGGAACACGGGTTGTGTGGCTCCAGGTTGAAATCCACCACTTGGACATGGATTACATATCCTTCAAGGCGGTTGCTGATTGTCCATGAACAATTTGCATTGCTAAAATTAAATAATACATTATATATTGTACAATATTTTACAAAATTCGAATTGTAGCAAGATCTGTGTGTTGTTCATGACGCAACGCCACAGTTTTGCAAATTCGCCACAGTATTACGTGAATTGCAACACAACCCTCATGGAAGTTTCTGTTGTTTCTGTTGACTTTCTTAAAGATCACTACATTCAATGAACAAATACTATGCTCTTATTTACGTTTTGTTTGCTGGCCATATGTTAAATTGTCGAATATATAGGTTCAAGAACGACTGACAATCTTTTGCGATAACAACAGATTTGGTTAATTCTATACCAGGTGTCACACTGCTGAATACAATATTATGAATGGCGAAAATGATTATCATGGGGTTGAGGTGAGAAGTCTCCATGCATAATACTATGTTATAAGTCAATACACATATGGTAAAAATGCAATTGAAATGCAAGAAAAGGAGGGTCAAGTTTAATGGTTTCTCCAAAGTTTTGCTGTTTACAAGGACCCAAATTGGTTTGTTTTATTTGCGAATAGAGTGTCAGTGCTTAACTGGTGATATATTGATTTCCTGGTACGGTTAATACCATGTCGTCGTTAACTTGAGCCCATCCCAAGTCACTCTTGAACACTAAATACCTATATACATCAATCTGTACTCATGAAACGAGTCTTAGCAGAAGTTTTGTGAATGTTGGGACATATGGATAATTCATGCCGTTAAAACAGTGGAACATGACAAACGTCATTACGTTAATTCATGTGGGTTAAAAATAAAACATATTTCACATACCTTGGTGAACTTATCTCGTTTGTTTTGTGTTAGAATTTTTGCAGGTTTATCCAGTTGGAACCCACAATCCTACTTTAAATTCCCCCGTTTTCCCGTTGCCTATATCGATGCAGTTAAAACCATAGGTACTGCAACTTTTGTTGTATAATTAATGATAAAAAAACATGTTTTGTAAACTCTATATTAAAAAGGACAAAAATCAGTTTATTTCTTTTCCGACGGTATATTATTAATGTTTGTTCCAACCCTATTTCGAGTAGCTAATGTAAAACGCTATCAATATTGATGATCTTTTTGCACATTCAGATTACCAAACTTACAATCTGAGCTATTATGATTATAAGATAGCCGCGACATACATTGCAAAGAAGAAGGAAGTACAGGCGTGGTTTATTTCACATTCATTTCTTGTGGTGCAGGCATGTTTGTTTGTTCGTTGTTTAAAGCCGCACTGAAAATAATCGAGTCTCGACCAGACAACCCTGCGACCAACATCATGAGCATGGATCAACGCAATTGGGGTGCGATGACAAGCATCAACCAAGTCAGCGAGCCTATCACCTTTTGCGGCAAGCATGGGTTGCTGAAGACCTATTCTACCCCGGATCTTCGCAGGTAAGGTGCAGACATGGGTCTACCTATGTTGCATATCCATCACTTGCTATGAAACATGCCTGACTTAAACCAAACAACGGAAATATTCGGTAGTCGGTTTGTTTTTGTGAGAAATATGTCTAAAGAAATGGTAAACTGTGCAAACTATACAAAAGACACCATCTGAGCTTCTAACTCAGCTGTGTTTCTCCAATGATATGCCTTCAATCAGCTTTACCTTATGTTGCTTTACACGTAGAATACTTGAATTCTATTGGTCGGTGACATTTGGATTCATTTCCATGTAGACTAGAGATTCGTATCGCATGTTTAAAATTGTAGTAAATGATAAACACGGTGCTGAGATAAATTCGTAGTTGACCTACTGCTCGGGGAATTTTGATGTACCTCTTTGTGGCCGTGATAATCGTAATCCGCGTTGTGTATACTCACCTTGGATACTGCAGAGGGTAATTGGGTGATTCAATATATTTCGTTTCATATTCGTTTATCTCTTCGTCTGTGCCACAACCTGAAACTTTGAATAGTTACACAGCATTGGATTGATTCATGAGTAGAGTTTTGATTGTTTGATGATGAGGATGTCCAAGGAGAAACAGGACTGTTCACATTGAGAGGCAAAACAAAGAAGGGATGAGGCTATGACTTTCCATAGCTGTTAAGTATTACCGCTTATGTTTTACAAATATGAAATACCTTCATCAACGTTATCGACGTGGTGAAATGTGTTAACAAGAAAGATAATTAGAGTTTTGTTCTTTTCAATAACTCCATGTTGAAAACATAACATTAACTTTATCTGGCATTTTAACAGAGCAACAATGCGTCTTCTTGTACCACCCTCCTTGGTTCTGTTATTATTATAAATGATGTTGCAGTTTTAATGCTAGGACATATGGATAACTCATGCGGTTAACCAGTGGGACAAGATAATCGTCATTTTAATCAGAGACAGAAAGTACCTGACGTCCGGGCCATGTATTTCAAAGAAAATCCTCTTCCTGTCACAGAGCCGTCAGTGTGGAAGGTGATAGTCATGGCGTTACTGGAGCTGACCACGTCCCTGGTGCCAGTACAGTATTTACCCAGCTTAGTGTCGTAAGGCGAGGAGCCTTGAATATATACATTGAATAACCCATGTCGTCCAGGCATAAACGTTAAGATACGAGAGTTGAAGTCAAGTTGAGGTTAATAAATTAATTATTAGGCATATTTTTGCAAACTAAATCAACAAAAAGAGCAATATGACTTCATTCATTAAAGCACTTTCATAAAATTGAAAATTGTGCTTACCGTCACTGAAGAGGAGATAGTCTCTTGCACAGGTGGCTTCATATTCCAAAGAAAGAGCTATAATTTCGGCTTTTATTTTATATCCAGCAGGTGCAGAAATTGTCCACTTGCAATCCATATTGCTACAAAGAATGATGTGGTGTACTCTTTAAACGCAAGCACAGATGAGATTCAAAGGGAATGAATATAAAATGTTGATAATTGTATGTCACCTTGATATTTTGAAACCATGAATATGACCAGAGCAAAATATGAAACCAACATAACGTTTCTCCCCAGGGAAGGTAAAGAATTACATTCCTTTATCGTGAAGGTGTTCCCAATTATTCAAAAGCTGCAATACTTAAAGTTTGGATTACCTGAAGGCATCAATGACTAAGGAAGAGGTAGAATGCTAGGGTAGAGGTTCAAACGATGCAGAATCTCTGTCCCAATATGAAATGTTCAAACAGTGTACAATATGTCATGTAGTCTCTCAACAATAATTCATCATCATTTCAGGTGTCTGCTGTGGATAGCACCTTACAATCTTAGTGTGCAGTGACTGGATGCAGTCAAGTCACTGTTGTTTTTGAGGACAGAGATAATTTTCGTTATCCGGAATAGCCGGTGATGATCAGGGATGCACATACTGGATCCTGAAACAACACACGTGTCTATGCAATGGGAACACCCTCCGCACTCAAACATCAACAGGCAAGGGCATCTATTTTATTGGATGCACTACTTGTCTCCTAAAATTATAATCACGTATGCCAATAATGACATCATTGAGGCAAGCAAGAAAACTAATTTCCTCGGGGTTCTGTAGCTTGGGTCAAGCACCTATTTATTGTTGAAACTCAAGAAGTTCTGAAGTTCATGTACTGGTATATTCTGGAAGTCAAGTATTTCCTTTTTAGTCCAGGGCACCTTTGTCTTTAAGACCTGATATCTTTATTTGAGCATATTCTCCTATCATTTCGTTTCCACGAGACATATATATCTTAGGCACAGGTCCACAGTGTCCATTTCAAGCCTAGGTTACTCACTCATGTAAAAGTGCAGAATTAATTAAACCCCCATGACAGCTGTCAGTGTGTGCTGTTAGAGTGTTATTTATTTAGTCATCATATCTAGTATACGGTTGCATATTTTGCGAGCTTGCATAATCTTTCATGTTTAATATACTTTTATAGATTGCAAGGAATAAAACTTTCGCAGAAAAGTACAGTATCATCACCATAAAGCAGAAGAAATAATTTAACATATAGAAAAGTATTATCATCGTTAACTAATCAACAGCTATTACACTGCCATTCATTTAGAAATGTCTCATGATCATTTAGATGAATTGAGAAATTATATCGGGATATATTTTCCACTTATCGAACGCAGTATAACTCGGAAAATGATCTGATATCTTAATATTTACCAAAACATTAACTATGCTTGTGATGGGTTAATAATATTATCCAATCTATTGTCTCTCATTTCGATATTTACTTTTATTAACAACCTAGTCGTAGAAACTCAGCTTCCTGACAACGGTGAATTAATGACCTACGATCATAGGACATGCTATTCGATGTACACCTCTTTGCATCATGAACACGAAATCCCAACATATTGACAAGTCTACATTCGAGTAATACTTTACTGCCAACATGACCTATGAATATGTTTACTTACCGTACATGTAGTTGGAGAGAGCCATGCTGTGCAAGCTTAAAGGTAGCCATCAAGATATATACAAGCGCTGCTTAATATCAACAGAGTATTCTCCTGATTAAGCGTCCTTCGGTGAGGTGTATAAACACTACATGATACTATTGATGTGTGCAATTCATTTGTGATGTATTATGGTCATGTGTTATGTTAGGCCAGTCAAGTCAAGGATAATAGTCATGGAAAATCTAGGATTTAAAACCACGATCATAGGATTCAGGCATGTTTTTCTGCACAGCAAATTGCAACGACAAAAACTATTGGGTCACGCGTTCGATCCCTCGTGGTAGGAAGGGTAGTTGAATGTATTGGTCGCCTTGCAGCACGAAGATGTCATTATGTTATATTAACATGCCATTTATCAATAAGGGGCATCAACCAAGATGTATATATGTACTAACTTGTTGTAGTTGGGGTAGCCAGGAGACGACAAATATGTCCAGGTGGACGTAGAGGCGCTGAGCAAAGAACTTCCACAATTAACCCCACTCGCACCTATATAAAGGGATAGAAAGCAACAGTGAAAAGATAATTGTTAAATCGTTTCAAGGTTATAAGCGGTAGAGTGTGTGAGTGAGTATGGTTTTACGCCGCTTTTAGCAATATTGCAGCACCATTGCAATATTGCCGCACCATTGCGGGGGACACCAGAAATGGGCTTCATACATTGTACACATGTCGGGAATGGAACCTTGACCTTCGGCGTGAAGAGCGAACGCATTAACCACTAGGCTACCCTGACCGCCCCTGTAAGCGGTAGAACATATTATACTGGAAAAATTAATCAACCTGTTGTTCATTTAAGTTCACTTATGCAACTACACTAAACTACGTTTATAACGAACACGCTTATAACGAACTGGCGGATATAACGAACTGTTTTTTTTTGTCCTGGCCATTTGTTGTATATATGTTTATAACGAACTACGGGTCTACCGAACTAAATGTGTGGTCCGCTTGAGTTCGTTATAACCGTAGTTTACTGTTTACTGCAATAAATACATTTAATCTTTATTCAAAATCGATCCATTCCGAGGGCCGTGTTAAACCCACGGCATCTGAATAATTTAGAAACGTGAAATGGTTTACTCGTGTCACTAAATGTATAACAATGTGATTTTGTGTTGTTTCGCAGCAATCATTGTAGACGTAGGGGCTAAGTAAATAATCTATCTCTACCATCAATTCCAGCCCAAAGCACCATTTGATATGGCCATGCCCAAAACAGTCCCACCCCAACAAACACCCCAACCCCACACACATTGTAGTCATGAATACACATGGTAGGTTGACTGTGTTATTATCCCTTGCTGGTTTCCTGTTTAGGCTACACAAAACGAAAGCCTAAAACGTATGCATATAAAACAAGAAATATACGGGGATTTTATCAGAGACAGTGATTGCTTCAACATTTATCATTTGGTTAGAGGGAGAAAATCAGTTTCCTTTTTCACTCATATTTTGCTCAGGACATCCAACATATCCACCATTGTTTTGTAAACCTTGACAGGAACCAAATTATATTTCAGCGTGTTTGGAACCTTTATAGTCAATTTCAAAACAAGAGAGTTAATTTGTGTTTTATGAAGTGTCAGTTGAATGTTATAGAGGAATCATTTAAACAACAATATAGATAGGTACCTGACGTCCTCGCCATGTATTTCAAAGAAAATCCTCTGTCCGTTCTAGAACCGTCAGTGTGGAAGGTGATGGTCATGGCGTTGCTGGAGCTGACCACGTTTCTGGTGCCATAACAGTATTTACCCAACCGAGTAGCGAAAGACGATGAGCCTTGAATAAATATATTAATAAAGAATAAAGACATACACGTTAACATACTGTAATGAAGTCAACTTGAGTCTAATGATACTTATTAATGAGCATATTACTTGCAAACCAATTCAACACAAAGTGCAATATGATGATGTTTAAGCACTTTTACAACGTTGAACATTTTGCTTACCGTCACTGAAGAGGAGATAGTCAAATGCACAGGTGGCTTCAAATTCCACAGAAAGCACTATAATTTCAACTTTTATTTTATATCCAGCAGGTGCAGAAACTGTCCACCTGCAGTCCATGTTGCTACAAAGAAATATGTATTGTAATCATTAAACGTACAAATCAGATCAAACGCATAAACGCACAATAGAATAAGACACGAAAACCTTAGACAGCAATATAAGTCTGGGCTATCTGGAAAGCAATTTCCTTGACACCACTCTTCCGTCCGTAGCAACGTGGTTCTTCCTGGTAATTATGTGTAATTATTTTGACATTTTGAAGCCATGAACATGACCAGAGCAAAACACCAAATCAATGTAACGTTTCTCCTAAGAGAAGATTATGAATGCATCCCTTGTCCACCGTATGGCTGGTGTTTATCGTGATGATGCTCCCAATTATTCAAAGCAGTCTTCAAGCGAAAACGAAAGTGACCTGAACGTGATTCAAAGTGTGGAAATTTCGAAGCCATCTCTGACCAGGGAACAGGTATCTGCAAGGGTAGAGGTTCAAATTATGCAGGATCTTTGTCCAAAAAGGAATAAAATGTGATGGTATTGTCTCAACAATAGTTCATCATCATTTCAAGGTGTCTGCTTGATGGCACCTTAAAACCGTAGCGTGCAATGACCGGATGCAGTCAAGATTATTGCACTTATATAGCGACGTGCATCCACCATGTGTGGCTGCCTGAACTTGTCCTGAAGAATGCCAATTTTAGAGTGCGAGGCCACTGAGATTCCATGCCGCAGTTTAACACGAATACCCCACTTCAGACACAGAAAACTGACTGCGAACATAATCAATCTCTCTCAAATCTTTGCATGTGAATTGACCAAAATGTAGATCATTTCCCAGAAAGCCGGCAGAAATGAATACATTATTTTATGTACACATATAAATCAAATTATATCCGTAATTATTGACACTTTTTTCAGCTTCATAAGTTCGCTATAATGGTAAGTTTAGTTTCATAAGTACAGTATCTGGGTTAAAGTCATTAGACAGTTTATTCCCGATATGCAGATCCAAAATACAGTAGTCAAATAGGCTACTGGTTCGGGTATTAAAATCACCTTTGAAAATAGTTTTCGGAAATTGAAAACCCTTCAATCAGTGGTCTCTCTAATTCCAAAAACAACAACATTTCTTTGGATGTATTCTGGGGGCAAATAGAAATCACCAAGGTAAATATCATCATCAAAACTAAACATATCTGTTCCAGTCTTTCACGGTTAACACAATACCACCTTATCTTCGGCGATGAAGGTAAGTTAAAGGTAGCCATCAAGCGTTATGTACAAACGCTGCTTAATCTCAATGCAGTATTGTTCAATTTAACGTCCTTCGGTGAGGTGCTCTTAAACACTACAGGATATTATCAATGTGTGCAGTTCAGTTGTGATGTATTATGGTCATGTTTTATGTTAGGCCTTCCGGCCTTAGGATATAGGTCGGCTGCTTCCTCAAATGCCAGGCGAAAGATTTAAATAATGTGCATCTAAGACTTTTACCACAAGGTTACACTCACAGGCACGATTATGATGCGGACAAATCAAGGATAATAGTCAGGGAGAATCTAGGATTTGAAACTACCATCATAGGATCCAGGCATGCTTTTGTAGGTCCGCAACTCTGTACAGGAAATTACACCGGGAAAAAATCGTGGTTGGAAGGGTAGTTGAATGTATTGGTCAGCTTATGGCACGAAGGTGTCATTATATTAACATGTCATTTATCAATAAGGGGTTTCAACGAAAGATGTCCATATATGCATGTACTTACTCCCTGTAGTTGTGGTTGGGGTAACCAGGAGACGACAAATGTCCCCAGGTGGACGTAGAGGCTCTGAGCAAACGACTGCCACAATTAAGCCCATTTGTTATTTCTATAGAAACAAAAAAGACAGCTAGAGTGAAAGGACAATTGTTCTTTTTTTAAAGGTTATAAAGCGGTAGAACATATTTCAATTGAAAAAGTAAATTAACCTGTTGTTCTTCTAAATTCACATATATAACTAGTCAGCAAACATTATGTAAACTTTAATGACGACATCATAGTTTAGAAACGAGAAAAGGTTTATTTTTTGTCACTAAATGTATCGTTATATTTATACAAATATCAATTATATTGTTTTCACAAACACCCATTGTAGACGTAACACTATGCTGTGTCCCATGTGATTCAAGTGTGTCTAGAAGCAGTGGCCTAGTAAATAATCTAATTCTACCATCCCCACATCCCTTACACCATGACTCCGATTATTTATTAGCCGGTCGTCAACACACAATACTTGTACCTGTAGTAGTAGTTAGGAACGTTCCAGCTTTGTATTTCAGATTAAATCCTAGTGCTGTGTCAGAGTCGTCGGTGTGGAAGGTGATGGTCATGTAGTTTCTGGAACTAACGACTACCCTGGTGATGTAACTACGACCACAATATTTTCCCAACTGAGCAGCGAAAGACGTGGAACCTTGAATAAATAAATCAATATATTTACTCACTCATGTCATCGATTTAGACACTTATATTACATCTTAGTAATCGAATCATCTTGAGGCTAATATTATAAGTTATTGATCAAAACTCAATACAAACGTAACCTTGAATAAATATATTCTGTGCCAATCATCTCTCATGAGTACTTATTACACTAATAATTATGAATCCTTGTATCTGAAACCAGCTGAGGGGCTTAAGTTGTCCTTACGATGAGCATAGGCTTGCTCATGTCGTATGGTTTGTGGCATAAGCGTAAATTAAGTGAACTTGAATTATTTCGGATTCGTGTAATTTGGACTGATATTACAGATATTGATCAGAACTTGTTAAACACCAATACAGCAATACACAGTTATGATTATATATACTTGAAATATTTTTAAAAAATATGTACAGTATGCTAACCGTCACTGAAGAGAAGGTAATCACTTGAACAAGCTGTCGAGTATTCCACATTAAAGTACACAACTTCGACTTTAATTTCATATCCAACCGATGCAGAAATTGTCCATTGGCAGTTCAGGTTGCTGCAAATAGAACTAGCTACATTCAGCTTTACATACATACATACAAACACAAAACACACACACACACACACACACACACACACACACACACACACACACACACACACACACACACACACACACACACACACACACACACACACACACACACACACACACACACACACACACACACACACACACACAGACACACACACACACACTTTTTATTCTAGCTTACAATTTATGTGTAGATTGCTACTTCCCTGTCACGTGCGCAGTGCTACGTTCAAGTCGCTTGTGTAGTCCTACTTACGTGTCACATGTGCAGTGGTACCTTCACGTCACATGTGTGGTGCTTCGTACTTGTCACATGTGTAGCGCTACCTTTAGGTCACGTGTGTGGTGCTACTTACTTGACACATGTGTAGTGCTACCTTCAGGTTACGTGTCTAGTGCTACCTTCACGTCACGTGTGTGGTGCTACTAACTTGCCAAATGTGTAGTGCTACCTTCACGTTACATGTATGGTGCTATTTGCCACCCTTGCAGTGTTATTTGTCAGTTGAGTAGAGATACTAACTGACTGACTAATTATTACTCATTTGTTACGCGAGTAGGTACCTACTTGGAATAGTTTGAAGGATAGCCAGGAGAAGTCAAGTTCGTCCATGCAACAGAAGAGGCGGAAAGATCTGATAATCCACAAGAGTGACCTTCCATTAACATAAAGGAAAACAAAATGTAATAACGAGCATATTTAAAATAATTCAGAATTAAACAAAACGAGAATTTGACGATTTGACAGCTACAGTGATTAAAACTGAGGGGATTAACGTCGTTCGTCGTAAAAATCCCATTACGGCTTGTGAAGTCTGTTTACGCAAACACAGATGAGATCGTGCCTGTTATTCTCAAGGATGTTTAATCTGATGCCTGACAAATTGTAAGGTGTAAGTTACTCCGTGGTGGGTACCCTGTTAAATAAGGAAAAAGTCTCTCACAGAATGGGTCTTTGCGGTCATCAAGGAAAATATATTTTTCAAACTTTAAGGAGGACAAGAACTAGAATTTGACCAACATGAAACACCAACATGTTGACTTTTGTAAAATATCAAAATTATTTGCACGAAATATACTCCAGATGAGTCCTGCAAGCGAAAGCCTCTTCCTGAGCTATCATGGTATGAATGAAACATGATGGTCATATGGTTACCGGAGCTACAAACAAGGTCATGGTTTTACTCACCGTCTGTTTCATAATATCTAATAAGGAAACCGCCTCTGGTTACACTGCCATCAGTCTCGAATACTGCATGAATATGTTGGTCTTCACGGGTAATAATATTTAATCTGCTTTGTCCACAAATTCTTTTTGACTCGCCTATTCTTTGATCACCTAGGGTGGAAAAAAATTATTTGTCAATAATCAGTAATTTCTAGTTACGAACATTAATGTATTTTAGTATGCTTGGAAATAGTTCAAATAGAATTGCAAATTAACAAAACGTGGAATGACAAAATCAACATTGGGCGAATATCAATGAGCTGCCTTCCTAAATGTCCTACAGACATCATGAAACAAGAACGCGTTAATGTTGTACTTTGACGGAGTAACTAACAAATTAAGAAAACATAAGCAGAAAACGATTGATGAAAAACTATTGCAATGACATGTAATAACCAATAGGCGATTGACTTTTTCAAAGCATTTTTCACCAATCCACATATAATCAAACGATTCTTATTGCTTTTATTCTTGAACATAGTTACTTATAACAATAATAATTATTTCTGAGACAATTTAAGACAAATGAGGTTTTCAATGTACAAACTAACTATTTTACCATTATTTTTTACGTATATGGTAAGGGCGTCATATGGACAGTTGGATCGGGATGAGCTTTCGATATCGGAGAACACCATGTCGAGTATAACGCTGTACCCTCTTGTTTGAGGGTAGATGTCCCAATAGCAGTTGTCATTGCTGCAGAAAAAAAACAGAATGCTTGTTTGGAACCAACGCAACATCAACCTGTTTGTATTTAATTCTGACGTATCAAGAATAACAATTATATTGAACAGGAATATCCCGTTACATACCTCGTGTAGTTGCCTGGGTAGTTAGGAGATGTGAAATTCAGCGGTTCCCCTTGAGCGTAGAGCGTAACGTTACACGCGCCTGTAAGGAAACGTTTACCGTTTATATATATGCAATTGTATACATTATTTTTATCATCACTCTAGTTCAAGAACATGGTAGGATTGTAATGAGAGATTTCCTTACTTGACACTGGTCCCTTTGATAATGCAGTATGTGTTATTAAAGAAAGCAGTGAAAAACGGTTAAGGTAAATTAATAATACTCTTACAGATATAAAGTTGATTGTTTTATATAAAACCATTCAAACTGAGATCAGATGTGCAGTACTGTATAGAATTGGAACAACGTTTTCTTCATAGTTGCGTGCCTCTACATGTCGACAGTAAGAAGTGCATGGAAAATTTTTTGCAAGTTTTCTTATGTGTGACAAAAAATATCCGTTGTAATGGATCTGCTTTCTATGAGATTATAGTGACATAATTCACATCATACTGATATTACCTGTATGCAAATGGAAACAAAATACACATTCTGTCGGATACATGTTGTTTGAAATGTCACCCATGTACAATGAAGCTTTAGGACATGTTCATGAGTCAACTGAACAAGCGTTCTTGGCAATTCGATAATCCCGTAACAGGCGAGCCATGTACCAACAAACGATCAGTCATAATTTTATTACATTAACATTATGCTTGACTGTCTTGGTGACTGGTGTAATAACAAAACAAAAATATTTGTAGTCAAAGAACATACATTTTAGACCGCAATCAGTCTTGAAGACGAACTCCGCATTTACTTTTACAGATTTTACACATATTGGAAAGTTACTTCTATTTAGGGGTATTGTTGACAGAATATCTGGACCATACACGTATGGCAAAGCAGCTGCTAGCTCAGCTAGCAGAGCGCTTGGTTGACTGATCTCAAACTATCAAATATATCTTCTTTGATAGGCATTTAGAAGTTGGAGTACAAAGTAAGGATAATAATTTATGGATGAACAACTTCTTTATTACTATTAAGAGCGACGTTTCGGTGTAGGTTCTTACACCGTTATCAAACAAGTGACAGTTGTGATACTCACTTACTTGATAACAGTGTTAGAGCCTACACCGAAACGTTGCTCTTAATTGTAATAAAGAAGTTTTTCATCCATAAATTATTTTCCTTACTTCGTAAATAAATGGTATTATGCAACACCATACATTTACAACGTTAAATGACACGATGTGTGCTCGGTTTTAGAATATGGATCTTGTATATGGGGAATGAATGATATGCCGTATATTAATGCTGTACAGAATCGTGCAATGCGTTCTGGTCTAGGTGTGACAAAGTATGTCCCAAACTTAGGTGTAAGCGGCGGCAAGGCATGGACCCCACCAGTAGTACGCCAATGGGGAAGTGTGGTTCGACAATAGAAACGTCTTTGCAATATAAACCAAGATCGTATCGTTCTTAAAATATGTCTATGGAGTAATCTCGGAGCAACCAGAATAAAGAAGAATCTTTACTTCCGCACCCATTGTTAACTAATAGATCTGGACTTGGGACATTTTATTCCCCCAGGCAATTGTTTAGATCAGGGTTTATTGTTAAACGATTGGTTTTTAATTCACATACAATTTAATGGAAAAAAGCCATTTGACACCCTGTTGGTCCATCGCGCACGGGAGGTTATAAACTTAGATTATACCTATTGTTTAAAGCATGACTATACTGCTGATGAGTATGTCATCCGCCCTATACCCCGTGCCCACAGAAGCGCTTTGGCTAAATTTTAATGTGACACAGCTCCTATCCAAATTGAATTAGGACGGTATATTAACATGCCGTTCAGTGCCTTGACGTTGTTGAAAATGAATGCAATGTCATTTTAAATTGTCCTGTGTATAATGTTGAGCGACGTAGTCTCTTAAAAAAGTGTGACGTACAAAATATAATATTATGTGTCCTCTTACCGCCTAAACCTGCAATGGCATTTTACAAAAAAAGGAAAAATCCTAGTCAGCTTCTGTCCTTATTATCTATGCTTAAAATGTGAATATCTTTTAGAAGAATCTCATATAGGTATTTTATTATGTAACAGTGTTGTGATAAGTCTGTCTGTCCGTCCGTCCGTCCGTCCGTCTGTCTGTCATGCAACCGGGAAGCCGCCGACGCTAACAGGATGGGTAACGCTGTTGAAATCTCCTTTCAACACATGTACGCGACCCTGGGATTGTTGTTTGCTTAACAACGGTATTTATTACTCGACAAGTGCACACGTCAACAACATCAATCAAAAGCAAATATACATCCTGAGCCCATTCTGTAATCTGTCTTTATCAACTGAGGTCATAGTTTGCAGGATTTAGTTGTGACTTGTTCTGATCACGAGGTCGAACATGGTGGCTGCACTGATAATCTTTATGAGAGTTACGAAGGATGTATGCCAAGAAACACATTACCTTACACCACCTGGGATTATTGTTTAACGCATTCCTGTCTCACCAGTGAGCACGCACTGACGATAGGGTTTACCACGATGTTCTTTGTAAGAAACGTATATCACAGTATTCATTTCTTTTTATTTATATAGTGGCTGGTGTTAATTAAATATTAGGTGTTATTTGCTTTCTTACGACTTTGGAGGAATAACATCCACAATGATTCGGCATTTATTATTATCATTAGTAGTAGTAGTAGTAGTAGTAGTAGTTGTAGTAGTAGTAGTAGTAGTAGCAATAGTTGTAGTAGTAGTAGTAGTGGTGGTGGTGGTAATGGTAGAAGTAGTATTAGTAGTATTAGTAGTAGTAGTAGTAGTAGTAGTAGTAGTAGTAGTAGTAGTAGTTATTCATATTAACATAAACAAATAAAATATTATTATTATGTTTATTGTGTTTATTATGTTTATTATTTACAGATTAGAATAAAACTTGCAGCTAGGGGGTTGGAAGTAAACATTACGCAATAGCGGAGTCCGCCATCTTGTTTAAACAGCCGACCGGCCGTGTCTCCGATATGCAGCTTACAAACCCGATAGTGAACAGAGGAGACTATCGCATACAATGCATTTTCAGAAACATTCACCAACTGAAGATACATACGGTGTGTCTTATTATGATTTAAATAATCACATCACCCGAACTGATGGTACGTGCAAATTATGATACTAAATATAAACACTACATTGATGCGATTGACAGAACAACAATGTAATTTGTGCTAAGTAACGGAATCAATACTGTTTATATGTACAACCTGTTTAAATGCATTTTACAAGTTACAATTTCACACATAAACACTATGTTATGACCAATATATGTAACACTCACTTGAGACCAGCGGCCCAAACAACAGCACACATACTCCAATAAAACAAGAAATGATCATAATGGCGTCCTGTCGTCGCCAACCGCTCTCCCTGAAGACAGTTATTACTATATCCCACCACAATGTACCTGCACCACAAGATTGAGAAATAGCTCAGCCCTGTGTACACGGTGGTCTGCCTGGAGTGTATGGCGACACTTGCATGAAAAGACTATCAATTCATTGCAACATACACGTCCCAATGTGACCTATTTCAACATAAAGATAAGGCCTCGACTGTAATAGTCCCCAGCGACACCTGGATACGCTTACCAGGTAGTGTGATAAGTCCTGTTTGATAAACGAGTGCATTGTCAATACACTGTCACGCCCATGACATCAGTGTTCGGTCTGTGTTGTGCACCTATTCATGTTGTGTTATATACAAAGATGTATTTTTTATACAAAGCAATATAACTGATATAAGTAGGTATGATAAAATGGGAATGTTTCTCGGCAGCACACTCAAAGGAAAATCACTAACATTGTGACGCAATATGTAAATGCCCCTATTTCAGGAATATATGCCATGTTTAACCTAACATTGTAGGGGTGCAACTCCGCAAACTGCATTCCCGCGCCTTGGAACGACTGTGTCAACCCGTACAACCCGGCGTTACCGGCTTAGATAACGTTTTGTTTTACGGTGAGTCATTGCAGTGATAGAACGACAGTTGTTTCGCAGATAAGGTCACATTCGTCGATCTAGGAATAACTTCTTTAAACATTATGAAATCGTTCAAATAAAACATTGTGACTGTTACAATATAAAATTCAAGGACATCCCTGACTCGGATAGTACTTTATCATCTTTGAGTTTTAAATAGTAATGGACATCCTGCACATCCATACCTTGGACTGCATGTCTATCAGCATTAGTGCTGCTTGTCGAGCACAGTTCACACTTCTAAAATTAAAATAGGAGACCATGATTCTACTGACTGGCCTCTTGGACTTGGTTTTATACAATTGAGAAAAACCTGCCGCCACTTTTTTGGTATCAAACAATCAAGCCAAAGTTGGACTTCATTCAAATCCCTACAAAGATAACTTCTCGAAAAACTGAAAACGTCTGAAAACGATCTTATTGCATCATATTCTCCCACAAACCAGACAACTGAAATGGCCACATGGTTGCAACCTGACGACATAGAATATGTTTCCGAGGCTCAGCTTGTCAGCTAATGACCATTGAACTGAACAATCAAATCCAGCGATAAAGGCCAGCAAATGGTCATCTTACTCCGGCTGAACGCATGGTCAAGCCGAATCGTTCCTGGCAACCCAGGTGCCACTCCAGTGCTCCAGCAGGTGATACTCCATGTCTTACATGTGCCAGCAAGAACTGTTATTAGACTGATGATATATGTGTTTACATGTAACGACTGCAAAACATTATGTGTAAACAATATCACTGTATATCTAAGTCTATATTTTTTTCACAGAAGGTTCTGTATTTTCTGTCTAAGAACTGTATTAGAAACCTAAATATGGGATTTATCTAAAATTGTACATATTTCGTCATAGAATCCAGTGCATCCAATATATATCACAATTCACGACCACATCTAAATCACATCTTTAATTAAATACCATGTGTATAAAGTTGCAGCAAAGTCAGATAATACGATTTACCAGCGCATGGCGAAGAGACGAGCGCGTAACGGTCTAAGGGAGGCAATCCCCGTTAACCATACATGTATCTGTTACCTGAAAAGACGATAATCAATGACTCCAATACAAAGTTAGATAATACGATTTACCAGCGCACGACGGTGAGAGTAACGGTCTAAGGGAGGTAATCCCCGTTAACCATACATGTATCTATTAACTGAAAAGACAATAATCAATGACTCATCTACAAACTGAAAACCTTTATGCTGTTATAAATCGTAAACTGGCATTTAGAAGCTTCATTATTCACGGACAAAATGTGCTGATTATCCAAAAAGATCCAAACCCAGTGGTGTCTGAATTGAAGCAATGTGTGTTTAGCGAATGCATAAATTAGAAGATAAACACTCTGTGTCTTCAAAACTGGAGACAGGTTACTTGTAGATTTCACCTCGCTAAATTGAATTTGGAACCGCATGCGTTGTATGAGATTTCAAATCTTAAATTGAACGAGGTTAAATCTGCCGGTAGCCTAGCTCTACATTGAAAACACATTATGCGTATCTCCCTTCTACCATGACTAAAAAAACTGGAAACTCTTTAGTGTTAGAGAAATATATTGATCGAAGCGACATGGTTTGGGTCTATTATATCAATGTCCATATCTTTATGGTTTTGTCAGGGCATGTATGGTCAGATGGACCGTGGCGCCGATAATATCAGTTCTCCGTTCCGTCACTGGGTTCCGGTATCGGCTCATTATGGGTTCGACTGCAGGTTGCATCTGGGTAATGCTATTGGGTTGGCGAGCACCATACCAATCGTGGAACATGAGGAACGAAAATATTGCAGGTACCTTGTTCAACCCAATGCCACCCACTCTCGTTTAAATTTAGTAAGTTAAAGATAAAATACGAATGTATACCATCCATCGGATTCAAAACATTTCAGGCTCTGTCGTAAAAGAACCATGGCTTCTTCTGTAATATCCGCCCGCCTCCATAGAGTGGTCTACAGGTAGATCGTCCGCCCGGAGAGCGGAAGGTTGGGCTTTCAATTGTATGCCGCGTAAGACCAAAACACTGAGTTGGATATTCATCTTAAACTGTGACATGGTATCTCAGTAGCCTACCACTATTAAAACAGCATTAGTTCAGACAAGCACAAGCAGCCACATACACATACACAAGTGCATACGTACATAAGTGTAATAATCCTAAACTGCGATATGGTATGTCAGTGGGCCAACACTATTAAAACGGCAATAGTCCGGACTAGTACAAGCAGCCACACACACACACACACACACACACACACACGTGCATCCGTACATAGGTGTAATAATCCTAAACTGCGACATGGTATGTCAGTGGGCCAACACTATTAAAACGGCAATAGTCCGGACTAGTACAAGCAGCCACACACACACACACACACACACGTGCATGCGTACATAGGTGTAATAATCCTAAACTGCGACTTGGTATGTCAGTGGGCCAGCACTATTAAAACGGCAATAGTCCCGAGTAGTACAAGCAGCCACACACACATACAAGTGCATGCGTACATAAGTGTAATAATCCTAAACTGCGACTTGGTATGTCAGTGGGCCAGCACTATTAAAACGGCAATAATCAGGACTAGTACAAGCAGCCACACACACACACACACACACACACGTGCATGCGTACATAGGTGTAATAATCCTAGACTACGACATGGTATGTCAGTGGGCCAGCACTATTAAAACGGCAATAGTCCGGACTAGTACAAGCAGCAACACACACACACACACACACACGTGCATGCGTACATAGGTGTAATAATCCTAGACTGCGACATGGTATGTCAGTGGGCCAGCACTATTAAAACGGCAATAGTCCGGACTAGTACAAGCAGCCACTAACACATACAAGTGCATGCGTACATAAGTGTAATAATCCTAAACTGCGACTTGGTATGTCAGTGGGCCAGCACTATTAAAAACGGCAATAGTCCGGACTAGTACAAGCAGCCACACACACACATACAAGTGCATGTATACATAAGTGTAATAATCCTAAACTGCGACTTGGTATGTCAGTGGGCAAGCACTATTAAAACGGCAATAGTCTGGACTGGTACAAGCAGCCAATAACACATACAAGTGCATGCGTACATAAGTGTAATAATTCTAAACTGCGACTTGGTATGTCAGTGGGCCAGCACTATTAAAACGGCAATAGTCCGGACTAGTACAAGCAGCCATAAACACATACACGTGCATGCGTACATAGGTGTAATAATCCTAGACTGCGACATGTTATGTCAGTGAGCCAGCACTATTAAAACGGCAATAGTCCGGACTAGTACAAGCAGCCACAAACACACATACAAGTGCATGTATACATAAGTGTAATAATCCTAAACTGCGACTTGGTATGTCAGTGGGCCAGCACTATTAAAACGGCAATAATCCGGACTAGTACAAGCAGCCATACACACACACACACACACACACACACACACACACACACACACACACGTGCATGCGTACATAGGTGTAATAATCCTAGACTGCGACATGGTATGTCAGTGGGCCAGCACTATTAAAACGGCAATAGTCCGGACTAGTACAAGCAGCCACTAACACATACAAGTGCATGCTTACATAAGTGTAATAATCCTAAACTGCGACTTGGTATGTCAGTGGGCCAGCACTATTAAAAACGGCAATAGTCCGGACTAGTACAAGCAGCCACACACACATACAAGTGCATGTATACATAAGTGTAATAATCCTAAACTGCGACTTGGTATGTCAGTGGGCCAGCACTATTAAAACGGCAATAGTCCGGACTAGTACAAGCAGCCATACACACATACAAGTGCATGCGTACATAGGTGTAATAATCCTAAACTGCGACTTGGTATGTCAGTGGGCCAGCACTATTAAAAGGCAATAGTCCGGACTAGTACAAGCAGCCACTAACACATACAAGTGCATGCGTACATAAGTGTAATAATTCTAAACTGCGACTTGGTATGTCAGTGGGCCAGCACTATTAAAACGGCAATAGTCCGGACTAGTACAGGCAGCCATACACACAAACACGTGCATGCGTACATAGGTGTAATAATCCTAGACTGCGACATGTTATGTCAGTGGGCCAGCACTATTAAAACAGCAATAGTCAGGACTAGTACAAGCAGCCACACACACACACACACACACACACACGTGCATGCGTACATAAGTGTAGAAATCCTAAACTGCGACATGGTATGTCAGTGGGCCAGCACTATTAAAACGGCAATAGTCCGGACTAGTACAAGCAGCCACTAACACATACAAGTGCATGCGTACATAAGTGTAATAATCCTAAATTGCGACTTGGTATGTCAGTGGGCCAGCACTATTAAAACGGCAATAATCCGGGCTAGTACAAGCAGCCACACACACACACAAGTGCATGTGTAAATAGGTGTAATAATCCTAAACTGCGACTTGGTATGTCAGTGGTCCAGCACTATTAGTACGGCAATAGTCCGGACTAGTACAAGCAGCCACACACACACGCACACACACACACACACACACGTGCATGCGTACATAGGTGTAATAATCCTGGACTGCGACATTGTATGTCAGTGGGCC